CTTTATTCCTATCAAGCTTATTATGCATCCCCCACAATTTTAATATAATTTACGCGACACCTTTCTTTAAATTAGATAGATTGATCGTCCAAACCGGTCTAAAAATCGGTCTAAAAATCGACTCGGTTCAAGTCGAACCGAAATCGCGATGTTTTTTTTTTTAATTCTAAAACTTAAGTTATAACAAAATAAAAATCTTACTCGCATGATTGATGTTTGTTACGAAAATACCGCAGATATGCAACGAAGATTAAAGCTTTAACTTTATTCTATGAGATATTCTGAAATAACTACAAGTAGGTCTTTGTAATACCAAACATACCTTAGTGGAATCCAGTTCTCTTCGTATAATTCTTTTTTGAGTTGATCCTGTGTTTGCTGTTTGATAAAATTATTCGAGTCTTCTCTATAAAAGAATTCATGTTTTCCTTTAGAATGTGGATTTTCCCATTTCGTTTTCGGTGGCAAAAGTTTGCATATCCTCGATTATGTCCAACATGAGTCGACATGAATTTCACTTTTAAAAATATTATAATTTATCTTTGAATTACTTTATAGTTTTTTTGTTTTTTTGTTAAAAATATATAGTAAGAAAATTAAAGTTTCGATACGTAATGATTTACATAAATTAATTAAATTTTCGATGATACATATAGTTACACACAGTAATAATAATACTAAAAGGATTGACGGTGCAAATCATTTATATCTATTCATTTATCGAGGGTGTTTTTGAAAATGCAGAGTAATTCCAAAATTTTCAAAGACAGTACTTCTATCTTGCCTATTATTTATGAGGCAAATTTTACTATCGCATTAGGTAATTTGTCTTTGTAAATCAGTAAGGAATATTTGTGAAACTTTAACAAACATGTTTACAATTTTGTTTGTTTGAATACTAATTTAATTTATTTAAATAGAAATTGCCGAGGAATTTGAGAGTTGGTTGCATGATCACTTAAATGAAACGTTGAACAGTAAGTCCGGTTTTCGTGATGCGGAGGTATTTCAACGTGATCCTCAAAATGACGAAGGTGATCCTGGGGTCAAACGTCCAGACAGAGTTCACAAATATTTTACCGTGTTTTTTGAAGTAGATAATAAAGAAAGTATTGAGATATACTTGAGAGAAGAGGTAAGCAATTTATAATGGAAGTTCCATTCAATCGATTTTATACAAATTAATTTAAATAAAATTTTTATTCTTAAAAGGCACCAAAAATTCAAGAAGCTTTACAGCAAAAATTTAATCAGAAAGACGCATTGGTTGTTTCTTCACGACGTATTCTTTACCCAGTCTCCCTTTGGGCTAAGAGACAAAGCTACGATAAGAAATAAACTATCATGTAATAGGAAAATTTTTTTGGATACATTTATTTAATTTTATGAATTTATTATAATAAAAATTTCAGAAACACTAAAGATTAAAAAAGGAAATTATTTTAATTATTTTGATGCCCATTAAAAAAATATATATTAATTTATTATTACAGTAGACTACATATGCTAAAATGTAATTATTAATAATATCCAATATCATTATAAATAATTTTCTTGATATGTTCGCACCTTCCACCCATGCATTATATATACAGGTATGAACCTTTCCGTTAGTCCGTGAAAAAAAAAAAAAAAAAAAAAAAGACAACAAAATCGGTACATGAATAAAAATGGAGTAAGGTTTTGGAACAATCATTTTAAAATATATATATATATAAAAAAAAAAAAGTAAAGCATTACTATGAATTATTAAATATTAACGAATCTGTATGTTTTTCAACCATGCCATTTTGTTTGTTATTTCATCTTCAACTTTTGCTACTTGATTAGAATATAGTTTAGTCTTTTCATTCGATATCTCTACATCCTTTTTCATCCGATCAACTTCGCTTAATATCGAAGCGATAGATTTCGCTTGATTTTCTTTTAATTTGATTTGAATTGTTTCTAGATTTTCAATTTCGCCTTTACGTTCCTTTGTTAATGTTTCAATACGAGAACCAGCTTCCACCACAACTTTCTTTAATCCCTTAGAAGTTGAAACCATATCGCTACGAAGTTCTTGAAAATCTACCTTTATAGATTCCACATCTTTCATATACCGAGTTTTGAAGTTTTGCAATTCTTTGGATAACAATTGATACTGAAATTCTGCTTGTTCTCTACTTGCCGAGACAATGGCCAATTGTTTTTCCAATTCGGCAGCTTTTGATTCTGATTCTTGTAATGACTTGTTTGTCTTATCCCGATCTACTTTGAATTCTAATTTTTTCTTTTCATTTTCCTTTCCAGTCTCTTCCAATTCTTTTACTTGCCTTT